TGACCTCACTGTTACTCCACCGTGACCTCACCATGACCTCACTGTTACTCCACCGTGACCTCACTGTTACTCCACCATCACCTCACTGTTACTCCACCGTGACATCACCGTGACCTCACCGTTACTCCACCGTGACATCACTGTTACTTCACTGTGAAACAAATGTCAAATTCCTCCCTCAGAGATCAGACCTATTATTAATCGTTATATATTAAATAAGTGGCAAGAAGAGTGGGATACATGAACAAATAATAAATTACATGAAATACTTCCAGAAATTTCAAACAGATTTTTAATCTCTTTTAAAACTATATTAGATCAAGTGGTATTTACCAGATGTCGCATAGGTTATACAAGACTGACTCGTGCAGTTTTGCTTAAAGGTGAAGACCCTACTCAATGTATGCTTTGCAAGGTTCCCCTTTCTGTTAAACATATTTTATTGGACTGTCCAGCTTTTAATGTACAGAGAAAACTCACTTAAAGAGTTATTTAGTAAAATTTTGCCAGGAAAAGTTTGAATTTTTATCACGTTAATGTAAAACATCTTGTGTGATATAACTTGTGTTTGTTTGTTTGCTGGTTTTTATTGTATTTGTTGTACTTGTATTTTTTAAATTGTTTTTGCCACGAAAATAGCCTTTGATGCTGACATGGCATTAAATGATTATATACTATACTATACTTCACTGTGACTGTAACTTCACTGCAGCCTCACAAACTTCATTTTACCAGACACTGTTTGGTGTCAGGTTATTGTGTGTAAGTGAGATACAGATACAGAGTTTCTGCTCAATTCTGCTGGTTTTGCTGTTTTCCGCTCCAGAGATGCGGTTCGTAAGAGGGTTCTTGAGAAGAGGCCTGAGGACTTCAAGAAAGATGGGAAAATATACCGGCTACGGACTCAAGAAGACAAAGAGGACGACAACAACACGTGGAATGGGAACTCCACGCAGCAGATGTAGCGCAGCGAGCCTCTTTGCTTTGAGTGTGTGTCAGTCTTAACGGTGGGTTTATCATTTAGGGCTTTGATTTCCATTCCCCTTCCCTCCAGCTCCACCCTGCATGGGTAAATCAGATCAGGTTAGCTAACTCGCTTTAACAGAGATCCTCTGCGTGCCCAACACTTCAGCGAGGACGACTCCAGGCTGGAGAAGCACAGGTTCCAGGCTTTGATGCGTTAGCTGCATCTGTTATCGCCTGGATTGATTTAATACTGTAACCACCGCTGTGAATGCGGTCTGTTGTGAATATCCGAGGGTTTGTGGCGTTTTATATGGTGGTTTTAACCCCACAGCGTCATAAACCGCCTCGGCAATAGAATGTCTTTCTACTAGTTTGAGCACAGATGCTACTTGATCCTATAACGATAGAATAAAATGTTTTTCAATGAAACGCTTCGACTGCAGTCATTCTTCTGTTTTGATTTTGTGCTCCTATTTAATCTTCTAGAACTGTCTGTGTCTTCATTAATGTATAAGTGTATGACACTTTAAATGTATTAATCGTGTCACAATCGTTTGCAAAAATACATCCGGTTGCTACTCTTTGTTGTACTCCGTGTGATCATGTTTTGTAATTCATATTAAAGGTAAAAGTATTTTGGGTTCTCATTCCTCATTCTTTTACTGTATCATTTGCGCTTTGGTTTCTTCATGAGTTCTGCTTCATGACGCTCGTCTCGCAGAGATCAGAAAGTCAATCAAGGCAGATTACAAATGTGTTTATTGTCATTATAAAGTTTCAGATGAAAGCAAACATTTGTGTATCAAACTATATCAAAAGGTTAAAACACTGCTGAATGAAGTGCAGCTCTTTCTCCGGTAGGGCTGTCGAATGATTAATTAACAAATATAATGCAGTAAAAACATGATAATTATGATGTTTCCTTTTTAGTAACGGAAAACACATTTTAAAAACAAAGCACGAGAGCATGTGGCATGTAAAAGGCTTCCAGCAGACGGATGAAAGGATCAGAGATCAATGATTAGCTGATGGTCAATTACATGATTATATTCACTTCTAAAGACATTTGCTGGCTGTTCATGTGTCACATTAAAGAGAGTTGACCCAAATATGAAAATTCTGTCATCATTTACTCTCCCTCGTGTTGTGCCAAACCTGTGTGAGTTTCTTTCTTCTATTGAACACAAAAGAAGAGATCTTGAAGACTGTTGATAACCAAACAGATGCTGGTAGCATTGACTTCAATAGTGTGGAGAATAAAACGCCACTATGGAAGTCAATGGGGACCAGCAACTGTTTTGGAACAACATGAGGGTGAGTAAATGCAATTTTCATTTTTGGATGAATGATGCCTTTGAATTTTTCCTTATTTGGGAGCTTTCCTTAGCTAATATTGATCTATGCAATTATCATGTAATTAATTAAGTGATTTTTTGATTGACAGCCCTACTGAAGAATGTTATGTGTGAAAACATCTTCACGTTTTTGTCTCGTTATAAAAGCAATCAAGACTCCCATAATCTCTGTCAGCAGCATTCAGGGTAAATGTGCGTTTGTAGAGTTTGCTGGAGGACTATATGGATTTGAAGGTGATGAGGTACTCTGGATACGCTCCCGCGTCACAGAACACCACGAAGATGAACGGGTTCTGGAGGCTGTCCACGGCGCAGTCGTGCAGTCCGGCCCGCGGGTCTGCAGGGTTGATCGGATCCGGCTCCTTCATTCCTTCTCTGCTTTTACACAGCGAGCCCGTCACCACTCGCGCTCGGTAGATATACTTCAGCTCTTTGTCGTCTGGGTTGGAATACTTGTCCTGGCAGGAGTACCAGGCCTCTTTAGCGAAGTAGGTGCCTTCGCCGTGATAGACCGCTTCAAAACAGAGCACATGTGACGGGTCAGTATCGTGAAGCTGCAAGAGACAGGCAGTTACGGGTCAAATGTGACGTACCGTTTCTCCCACAGAAGCTGCGGTTGAAGCCGTTCTTGTTGATTTTCTGGCATATCTCTTTGGTCGTTCCGTGATAAAGCTGGCGCTCGTTTCTCTGTTTGGGGTATTTCTTATCCACGGCCTGTTTCAGCACACAGTATCTCTGCCACTGCGACTGACTCTGAATCCTGTCGATCTGAGAAATCACCTCAGACGTTAATAAAGACAGGCCTTAACTCAAAATGAAATCAAAATCAACTCTTAATTTCTTAACACAACAGCAATTCATCAGTGCATGTTATTCCAATTTGTAAAACTCTTTCTTGGCCTCTGAAACGACTTTCTTCTTTAGCTGGCATCATGGAGAAAATCAAGTTCGAATATTCTGCTTTTTATGCATTTGGCAGATGCTTTTATCCAAAGCGACTCACATTGCATTCACAATGTACATTGTTTTTGATCAATTTGTGCATTCTCTGATAACTGAACTGTACTCTACTGTTTGAGATACAAGAATGCTTCATTTCCATATTCTGAAATAAGACGGATTAGGGATGTGGAATGAGTTGACTTTAAGTACTGATGCTTATGTTGTTGTGATGTCCAAATGTCCGGTGAGATGCGAGTTAAGAGACACTTTACCTGTTGAACCTGGACGGGCTTCACATCACGGTGTATGCTGGATTTCAGAAAGGCTGTTTCTATGTTCTTGTACTCTACTGAATTTGATTGTAATGTGATTATTTCTAAATCCCGTCCATCCATTTTGGTCCACGTTGGAGGGGGATGAATGATTGCTGAGAAACAAACAAGCAAAGTTACAGAAAGAACAGTTTCTGCTATCATATATCTTCAGACGACACCCACAGATGCCTCCTCAACTGAGGAACAATATAGTGTTTAACAGCAACTACAAGCCCTCTTTTGAGGCAGAACTAGTAACTGGATTTTTCAAAGTTTACAAGGTCAGTTTAGCAGAAGTTTGAACTGTACATTGTGCTTTTTGTTTTATCTTAGCTATCTTTGGGAAATACGTTGTTCTGCTGCTTTTGGAAGGACATAAATCCTGATCGCATAACTTTACACTCTGATGCTTCTGCTTCTCATGAACACTTTTGGATCAGTTGTTCCAACTCGTACCTGTATCAGAATCCCCCAGCAGAGTCCTCTTGATCCTGCAGGACTCCCGCTTGCTGTTTGTGACCTCCATCTGGTTGAAGTCCACCGTGTAGGTGTCTCCTTTCTCCTGGTACTGGAAGCTCTTCTCTTTGCGGTGGAAGGTGAGCTCGATGTCGTAGCTGATGCCGGGCTCCAGTGACTCCCAGCGTTCTCCTCTCGCCACCTCCCAGCACAGCGTCTCCCGCAGACGCTTCACCTCACCTTCACGCTTCTCTCGGTCTCGCGCTGCCTGGATGAAGCCGTTTATCTTCAGCACAGCATCTAAGACGTCGTCTCTCTTCCCTGATACTGTTAACTTATCCGAACTGGCCACCAGAACGCTGATTTGATTGGCTCGGCTGAGGGCCACGATGGCCTTCTTGTCCGTTTCAGGAAGGTCTGTGATGTGGCTCAACTGGACGTCTTTACTGAAGCACTCCTCCTTGACCAGCTCGTCCAGGAGCTTCTTGACCTTGGCGAGGTTTGTAGGGGACGTCCCGTAAACGTCAACGGCCATAACCGGGAACGATACAGCGGTCGTTTCTTTGGCTAGACAAATAGCTGGTCGCTGTGTCAGCACAGGGATCACCGGTTGCTGGAGGGGTTTGACCTGACGCGCTGTTCAGGAAACACAAGTTAAAGTAACCAGGTTAGTTCCAGCTCATGCTTCACACTGTACGTTCATGCACTGAAACATACCAGAAGCATTTCGAGAAATCTTCTTGCACTTCTTGACAGCTTCCTGAAAGTCTGGCAGCAGTTTCGCTTGGAAGATCACAAGGTGGACGCGCTTCAGGTGTTTCGGTGAGTCCTTTACAAAGTTAGTCAGAGCTTCTGTCATTGCATTGGCAACTCCTGCAGCAGCCAAGTTTCCTGCTCCTGAAGGACATTAAGCATTTTAGGATCATCCAGATACCTTTGCTTGGCTTTGCTTATCTGTATTTCTGACCGGACGAACTTACCTGTTCCAAGAGCTGGGAATGAAACCGACTGAATCTTATTTTCTTCGCACATCCCCAGAACTTTGTACATGGAGCTGCTGATGCCTTTCTCATTGGTCTGCCCAACCATATGGATGATGTGTTTGATATTTGAAAGATTTCCAGCTGTGGTCAGGATCACGCCATCGGCGGGCTGAGGCGCTTTAATCAGGAGAGAAGAGATGAACAATTATTCTGTTAGAACAGGAGTGTCCAATCCTGCTCTGGAGGCTCACTGTCCTGCAGAATCTTTCTCTAACCCCAATTAAATACACCTGAACCAAGGTCATCAAAGGTCTTTAGGATTACTAGAATCTTCCATGCGGGTATTTCGGGTCAAGTTGGAGCTAAACTCTGCAGGACATTGGCCCTCCAGGACCAGGATATTTATGACTATTGACTGAAGCTGAAGGTTGTACCTTTTGATTTGCACTCGTTCACCACCGTTTGTCCTGATGCTTTGAGAATGGCTCCTGATACACCTGCACATAAGGACATACACTAGATCTGAGCACCGCCTCCAATTAGTTATCCAGCTACATCGCTCCCTGTTTCATGTGCTGTATGTCTGGAAAATGACCGTTCATCAGGTTCGGAGTGATATCAAAAACAAACTCGCCTGTGTTCAAATCGAGGCTTGTCGTCGTGCTGTTAACAATAGCCTCGACAGTCTCTTTGGTGATGTCTCCGCAAAGCACCTTGACTTTAATCGGGCCCATCATCACCTCCACTGGGTTTGCTGGCGAAATGTAAACATTTTAAGCATGTTTAGAACACCGATAACGGCACATTTTCAAAAGGTCATCAAACGCTGCATTACCGCTGGCATCAGCTCCTTCGTCAGATGAGGAGCTTTCTTCCGTTGAGCTGTAATCCTCCAACTCATCATCTCCATCATCATCATTTTCATCATATTCATCAGCTTCACTCTCCTAATTGTGTTGATGTTAATTCAATGTTAAAATGCTAAAGCATTTACATTCGATATTTAATAAATCACAAGGACCCTTGAAAAGTATCCTTCATAATAGACCCATTCAGAAGTGGGTTATGGTTAAGCATGTGGCAACTCTACCTGTGTATTTGCAATCCATGTTTTGAGACCTTTCTGAAACTCTTGTAGGACGTTGTCCCGGTCAATCACAATGTAGATGAGCTTGATCACCGTTGAGACGTTTTGAGACAGATGATCTTTAAAGCCCTGCAGCATCGCACCAATGGCGTCCTCACCCTGAACGCCTCCGCCACCTTTAACAAGAGCCATCACACGGAGTGAGACATGAATCACACACGATGACCAGCACATGCCACGTTTAAGACCACCATCCGTACCGGTGCCCACGGCAGGGAAGGAGACCGTGGTGATCTGCTTCTCCTCACAGCGCTCCAGAACGTTCCTCACACGTGATCTCGTCTCTGCCGCCGAGTGCGGGCCCACCATGTGAATGATGAAGTCACAATGCAGGTTTCCACCGCTGGTCACGGCTGCGACGTCATTCTGCAGTGCACCTTCACAGCGGATTTTTGTTTAAAGAAAGTCATTTATGTCTACGGCCCAATCACAGCTGTGCTGATAACCAGAATGCTCGTGCAGTTGATTACTAACAAGATTTCATTATTTGGCATGTGACGTTCTCACCGTGCTTTTGGCACTCCTGCTCCACAGATGCTCCAGCTGCTTTAAATATGGCACCAGACACTCCTGAAGGACAAAGACGCTTTTGAGCTCGTCAAGGTGGGACACCTTGCCCCCCAACATGTCTCTTTGCATGTTTCGGAGTCTCTACTAATAAGCTGATGACTTTAATCAGTGTGTTTGATTAAGGAGACATGCAAAATGTGCAGTGTTGGGGCTCCAGGAACATGGTTAAGAACCACTGTTTTAGAGTAATTAATGTGTTGATATAAAAGTGTTCTATTTGATCATACAGACCTCCTCTCAAGCTCATGTCCCTGTTGGTGGTGTTGACGATCCCCCGGACGGTTTCATTAGTGATGTCACCTTTCTTTACCTCAATTCTGACACTTCCAATTTTGACTACAGAAAGATTTAAAATGTAAATACTTAATATTCACTCCTGGAAATATCACAACTATTACATTGAAAGAGGTTTATGATGTCTTTAAAAAACTAGAGCATATTTATTTGTGGAAATGCAAAGTTGTCAAAACCTTGATTTTCTGGCATCTTGCCGGACGCAGGCTGGAGAAAAACAAATGTAACAAAATTAAAGCAATAAAAAGAGAAATCTGGACAATATTATTTTGTTATCCCATCAGTATTAACCTTATTCCATGCTTTAAAATGGTCACGAAAGGCATCAAAGGTCTTCTGTTCAAATGCCACTACAGTGATGCTCCGGAGGCAGGATGAGTTCGGCTCCTTCAGATGTTTCTCGAGTGCTGTGAAGATGGCTTTGATCGATTCTTTCGGGGCAAAGCCACCTCGTCCTGCAGAGAACAAGATTAATGCTCAGGGCTTGATATTTCCTCACAGCGCTTTGAGAGAGTATTTTTAAATAACAGAGAAACTGCTGCTGTCATGCCTGTTCCAATCGCAGGAATGGCCAGAGTTGTGGCCGTTTTGGCTTCACAGAGGTTCAGAACTGTTTCCAGAGATGATGTGATGTCGGCGGTGCTGTCTGGCCCAACCATCTGTGCGATAAACTTACACTGAAGCGCTCCAGCACTCGTCAGCACTGCTGCACCTGCTTTCAGAGGAGCTACACAAGCAGATGTGAATGAAATCACTCAGCACTCCCTTTAGAATATAGCCATTGACAGAAAGAGTCGGAGATACCTTGCTTTTTGCATTCGTCAACAACAGATTGTCCAGCAGCTTTTAAGATGGCACCAGAGACGCCTGTAAGGAAGTTACAGTAAATATAATAACACAAATCTCTGAGGTACCTTCAGGCTTTAACATGAAACATAAAAGTATTGATGCTGCAGCAAAGAAACTCTTACCGGTGTTAAGATCTAAACTTCTGTTGTTTGAATTCACAATGACATCCACCGTCTCTTTGGTGATGTCGCCGTTTTTCAGGCATATGGGCACACCATTGATCAGCACTGATTTAATGACCAGTCATGTGAAAAGAAAAGTACATAAGCGACTTCTAACACTTCAGATGAAGTTTAGGAAACATGGTGACCACCAGCAGTGAAATTACAATAGCAGGTAAATCTGCACAGTACCTCTCGTGTCTGATCCGTGTTTTAGCTTCAAGGATTGTAGGGGAACTGTTGTAGATGTGTCAGGAAATCCCTGTTAGAAATTAAATGGGTGATGGTTAATAAAACATGCTAAACACTGTTAATAAACGTTTGCATAGGAGGGATCATACTAGTTCCTGGATCAGAGCGTTGTACTCCTCAACGATCTCCTCGTCTGAATCCACTATACTGATGCGTCTGATGTTTTTAGGAGAATTCTGACGGTCGCTGCAGAACTGCAGTACAGCGGCTCGGAGCGCCACGCAGCTGTCTTTGACAGAGAAGCCGAAGCTTTCACAACCGACTGCTGGGAGTGCAATCGAGGCGCATCCTTTTCCTTCGGCTTTCAGGAGGCTGTTGTACACGCCTGACTGAAGGTAGTGAGAGTCCAGCCTCTGTCCTTTCTGAGGCAACACGGCGTAAATGAGCGTCCCGGCGCTGAGTTTCCCAGCATCACTGAGCACCACGTCTCCAGGCAGAAGACTCTGCTGTTGCTTCTGCTGAGTTTTACACACCTCTGTAATCTCGTCTCCTCCGAACTGGAGAAAGCACTGAGCCACAGGGTTACTGAAAGCTAGATTGGCATTCATTGGACAGGTCAAAGCGTCGGCTGTGAAATGGTGCAGGTCTCCTTCTGCGATACTCCGAGTCATGAAGTTGCCTATTTTGTGTGTGAAGCTCTTTGGAGGGCTGGATTTGACCACATGCTCTTGTGATAAATACAGACTGCAGTGCATCTCCTTAGCTCTGGTCTTCATGTTGGCTTCATGTTTCTCCAGAACCTTTGCTTCTCCTGCTTTGCTATATGTATGGCTCTCCATAAGAATGGATGATATCTGCTGCTGTACGACACGCACCGCGTCTTTGATATTGTCTTTAGCTGCTGTGATCTTCAGACAAGGGGAGTTTGATGTTCTGTAAGCGAGTACCGTCGCGCCGAGGCTCTTGAGTTCAGGGAGCTCGGACAGATTCAGGCAGGACTCCACAAATTCAGCCTCTCGCACAGATTTCAGAGGGACCTTCTCAGTTGTCGGTTCCTTGTTGTCCAGATATCTCTTGACTTTTCCGGTAACATCTGCAACTGCACTGGAAAACCCACATATTATAACCTCATTATTTGATTGTGCGATCCTGATGTCGTGAGCTTTCTGGAACGATTCTATGTCATCTTGAAGATTCCTGAGAAAGTGTGTCCACGTGTCACCGGTCTGATTGGGAGAAAGCTGTATAACCTGCTCTTTGAGAATCTCTCTTATTTTGTCTTCAGCTCTCTTCAGGTTTTCTTTCTCAACCAAGATGCCAAAAAAATCCTTTCGGTTTAAAAGTCTAGCTGGAATGTGGCTTGGGAGAAAATAGTCTTGCTCAAACTTTTCAAGATCCAGAGACTTCAGAAAGTGAATCAGATGTGAAGAAAGCTTCAGCTGGTGCGTGACGATGTTCTTCTGCGCTTGCTTGATGAGCATCTCCACTGAATGTACTTGATCCTTCAGACCTCTGAGGGAGATGATGTGCTGCTTCTCATCATGAGATAAACTCACCTGCCCTAATCTGGACTCCACTCGCTCTTTAATTAGATCAAACGTCTCTCTGCAGTCTAGTTGGAGGTCTACCTCGGCTGTGTTTCTTTCCACTTCCACCTCAGCAGCAGTGTTCTTCAGGAGCGTCCTGATCTTGTCTGACAGGACCTTCACCTCCTCTTTCACTCCAGCAATCACAGCTTTAGAGTTGAGCTCCCTGTAGGAGAGCGCCGTGTCGAGCGTGATGAGACGGTTACAGTCGTTCTCAGCTCTCGTCCAGACGTCCTTCTCCGCCGGCAGCTCTGCGGTGTCATATCTGCTCAGAAACGACTCCGCTTCCCTCATTGTCTTGGACTCCCACGTGGGAGCGATCTGCAGCGCAGCCAGCGACTCTTTGTTGACGTCCATCTCCAGAATCAGTTCATTTGCTGCGGCGGAGCTGTCAATAAGCACTTTGGCGTGAAGCAGTTTGGCCTCGTTCTCCAGTTGTTTTCTGCATCGCTCATTGGTTTCAAAGAAACGGAGCAGCTCTTCACTGACAGGAACGTTCACTTTCGTGGATATTTTATCAGTTAGGGTTGGTTTTTCTCCAGTTAAAGCCTTTTGTAAACTTGAGTAGAACAGTGAAGCGTGAACTTCTGTGCCGCAAACATTGTGTGTTTGTTCCACCACTGCATGCGCATCTATTACAACAGAAAGGACAGGTACATTTTTCAAATTAGGTTTGTTCTTTATATTTTAGCCTTGAAAATCCTTTTCCTAATTTGGTGTTTCCAGTCAAAAATGACTGGCCTTTTAAATTGCTTGTAAATCTCTCATTATGTTATATAATCACCAAATGTTGGATTTAGGGTACGCAACAGCAATGTACTAAAATGCACATTGCTGTACAGACAACAAAGTTGTCAAAATGATCCCCGTTCACACGGATCCGTGAAAATGACTAAAAACACTTTGTAAAGAAACACTACTCATACAAGCTGACTAAATCCAAGATTTGGTGATAATAATGTGAGATTTATTTTGGGGAAAAGAAAATCCTCTAGAAGCCAGAAGACAACAGGAAATTACCACTGCACAGTATTATTATTTCTCCATAACATTTATACAATATTCACATGACCGAACTTTAGATCTGTTTGTGCTGAATCTAAATGAATGTTTCATTTCTGCAAATAATCCCACCGTCACAGTTTCCGAAGGTGATGGCCGCGCTCTTTCGTCTGTTGATCCATATGAAGGACTGGACGTCTCCTGCTCCGCTCCTCTTCTTGTTGCTGAAGTAAAGTGTGAGAACATCTTCACTGATCTGCTCCAAGTCTCCCTGGACCAGAACCGAGTCCGTCCGCTCCACACGGGTCACTCCGATGTCTCGACCCTGCAGCTGCCTCGAGGTGCATTTCCTTAGAAATGACGTCACATCTGATGATAAAATATGAAGGAAGAAAATGATCTATGCACTGAGTGTGTGCACTTTCCTCAGTGTTTATTTGAATGTTGACCACAGCAGTCTGATCAGATTCTGGTAGCATTCATTTTCACGCAATACAGAGGATTTGATTAGTCTATGTAGATAGATAAAGAATGTTCACAGAAGTAGCAGACCCAAAAGACGAAGAAATATAAGCAGCGTGAAAGCAGGCGTCTCTGAAACGGAGGTCGTTCTCGGGAACACAGAAACCCAGCGGCCACCCAGAGCTTCAAAACCCACCGATATCGTGTTTGAAGCTGACAACGATCCTGTCCTCATCAAGCGTCTCCCAGGTGTGCTCTGTGGTCTTGCTACAGCTGCCGATGAACACTGAGATCATCCTGCAGTCTGTGGCTCCATCAAAGCCAGTCAAGATGAAGCGACGCGGGTCCAACTGCTCTCCCAGACCACCTCCTTTATACACTGCTAACGTTATACCAAACCCATGCTCTTTCTGGCCCAAAATCTCCTCTAAATCTGAGAAAGGGTCAACATTGTTAATTCTGATATTTCTGATCTCACCGATGGATTATGTTGGATGATTTTATCATGGTTTGCTTTTATTTTTCTCACTTGAGAGCTAGTAATCTAATGATAGTTTCTTTGGCCTGAGTCATATGCACAGAAATAGACTTGCCAAACCAGTTTGTTTCACGTCACATCGTGATGTAACTAGAAAACAATCTCAGGAATCATACCTGACTGGCTGCAGAGCTTCAGGATCCAGCTGTTATTCCCGTGCTTTGCTAGCTCAAACTGCTCTGTGAACTGCTCAAAATACATCTGAAGCATTTCCTTCTCGACTAAACCAGGGGTGTTAATGAGAAGATCTGGTGTTTCTGAATCCTCCTCATCTTCTGTGTAATGAACAAATATGTACACATGTCCAAAGTGTCGTTGTAAAAGTTTTGAAATCAGTGATTGTTGTTTTAAACACTAGGAGTGAAAAGCATTATAGCCCAACCTTTATGAGCTGTAATTGCTGTTGCAGGCTTTCTGACGGGAGACACCTTTGTGTGACGAGGAGGAAGTGTGTGAGTAAAAAAGAAAATAACAAATATCACTCAAGATCAGGTGCTGGTTGCATAAACTCCGCAGATTACTCTTAAAAGATCATCTAATTGTTTGAGAGTTCAAAAGATTGCTCATTGTGAAGTCAGTGACATAAAAAGTATCTCCTGAATCTGAAAAGTAAGATTGATTAACACTTGGTTAACTAGTTCTTAAGACACAGTCTTAACATAGTTTCTATGTTTATGCAACTGGCAAAAATGTCCAATTGCTTCCACGTTCTTTCAAAAGAGACGAGAATCAGGAAACTTGTAGTGTAATATCAATGCTAGTAGTTGTAAGTAATGAACTGATCTGCAATGACCTGTCTGGCTGGAGCGGGCAGTGATCTGAGGGGCAGGCATCTCTCGGGGTTGGGTTTTGGAAGCACTGGTGGTTTGGTCTTCTTGATCGCAGGGTCTTCTGGGAGTTTCACGGTCACTTCCACTGATCCATGAGGTTTCAGATCAACTTTATGCACCCTTTTGTCAAGCACCTTCTTCAGATCTGGAAAGCAGGGGAATTTCCTGTAAAACTCCTCCATTTGTCAAGACATGTCAGTGTTTAATCAGGTCATTTATTAACAGTTGTGGTGTCAGTATTGGTTTATGACTCACCATCGTCGCTCATGTAAACCAGAAGCGCTTTTCGCTTGTCCTCGTGATGTTCTCGAATCTGCACGATCTCTCCTCCAGATCTTCTTTTATTCTTAAAATAAAGCTGGAGCTTTGATTTGACACGGTCGAAATCAGCCGGAAGACCCTCGAGAATCAGACTCTTCTCTTCCATGTTTGCGCTTCAGAGACAAAGCGACAGTCGAGAAACTTTCTGTCAGTAAACTGTGAGATAAGTGACTGTCATCTGATCGAGTCCCGACGAGAGACGTGTTAATATCTCGCGGTGATGGAGGAACCGAACCGAACCCGCCGCTCGCTGTTGCGCCGAAATCTGGCTCCGGTGCTTTCACTTTTGCTTCAGGACTGGTTCATGTGACTTCTGATCAATACGAGTCCAGATCGGGGCGGGATCAGGAAGTTGAGAGGTAAATTATAAGTGGTGAAAATATCTGTGCGATCAGTCAGTCATTCGAGAAGTGTTTGGAGGCTTGATTCGGAGTTTTACATTTACTTCACATACTTTCGATTTAGGGTGAATCATGTCTGTCAACGGCGAGGTACGTGTTCATAACCTCAAATTCACGCACTTTTGAGATTTCCTCCTGCATTCTGTTTAACACTGTATCATGTTTTGGTGAAAAACGAGCAGCTTGTAAACCCGGACGAGGGGAGCAGAATGAGCGAAGCTGCTGCGGAGCTGAAGAAATACAAGGTTAAACCTCACAAACTCTACACACAGTTCAATCAGTCACCTATAACCATATTTAATCATTAGTGATGTTCACAGGATCTCATGGAGTCTGCAGACAATGAGAAATCCAGACTGCTGCTGGAAAAAGCTGAAGCAGAGACTGAAAAGAAAAGAACCGAGGCAGAACTTCAGAGCTTCATGGACTCTGAAGACAACATTTCTGAGCGGTTTAATAGAGATCTTCTAGAAGTACAGGTGAGTTTCGAGGCGTGATCAGACTAGCCAGCAAGCAATTTTGCGTTTAAAAGACGTCTATTAGACGTCTAAACACAGCCCAGACGTCTAGGTTAAAACGAGGCTAAATTTGGGCTGTCAGTGAAAATCTAATAGACGACTAATCATAGCCCAAGAATAGACTAGTTATTAAACCACTACATATATACAGCTAATAGACAACAACATGGCAATCCATACATACAGCTTTTATTAAGAAAAATAAAATTTTTAACAACTTGGACAACTTAAGACAATACAAAATTATAAAAATACAAAATAATTAATGACAAAATAAAATGTAATAAATACAATACACTTAAATATAAATATTATGATTGGAATATCATACATCTCACAAGTTATTTTGCCAAAAAACGACATGAAACCAAATTCAAGGTTATTTGGGCTAGAAGTGGGTTACACATAGCCGGACTATATCGCGTCTATACTTAACCGAGACGTTGAAATGACGGCTATTGCTTGCTGGGTAGCCACTGAAAGAGAAAGCAGATGCTGAGGATTGTGTTCATCCTGCTTTGTTTCAGGAGGAGAGGGAGAGTCTGGATCGAGCCAACCAGGATCTGAAGAGAGATCTTTATGATCTTCAGAAGAAGCTCCAGCTCAAGAGGGACGAAAGTGACTCTCTGCGACGCAAATTCAAGGTTGACCTGAGTTTTACTGTTACAATGTGTACAATTTATTAACTGATTACAGTTTAAAGTTACTAATATTGATCAAAGTTTAGTCCAAATAACACTGATCATATAAGGATCATGGAGGGTGTCAGATGTAGCTCACTCTTCTTCCTGTTGAGCAAGAACTGAACAATCTTTACAGAGTCATATGCGGTGTCCAAAATAGCATTCTATTTGTCCTAAACATTATTTTAATTTAGAATTAGTGCATCCCAAATCGTAGTGTCCCAAAGGTACCTGGATGGTTTACTGTTTATTGCTCACAACCCATCGTGCACCAGACAAGGATTTGATTAGAACTACAAAAAAAGTGTTTAAAAACTACAAACATGGAGGATATGAGAGACTGATAGTTAAGCACTTTGAGTGATTAATAATCAATGTCTAACTGGATGACGAAGAAAATCCACGTCATACTTCATCTGCAACAACATTGTGAACTTTTATAAAGATATATTTGGTGATTAACTTTTAAAAGCATCATTGTGCAAACACACAAGAAGAGTTCTGCGTGTAACGAAGTGACAGAGCCGTCCGTTAAAGATGCAGTTATGACAAAATAAAGCAATAAGCCCCATGAAGCCGTGGTTTACAGTGAATATATAACAGCTAAGGGGCGTTGTTTGGCTGTTAGGTTGTTAGGCTCCGCTTCGCGTCATGCCTAAAACCCCCTTAGCTGTTATAAATTCACTGTAAACCACGGCTTCACGGGGCTTATTGCGTTTATAAAATGGTTATTCCATATACGTAGTAAGGTTTCACAAAATAAAACAGAGCAAATAAAGTGTAATGATATTAATAAAAACAGTATTCTTCCACCAAACAATGTAGCTCCTCAGAATCAGTTGTGGTTGCTACAAAGTGGTTGCCGAGCAACACACAAACGTAAACAAAGGTGTATGTCACTTTGTAGAGTATTTTACAACAGCTTCGAACGCGGCTCAGCCAATCAGAATCAAGCACCGGAACTCTCCGTTTTATAATAGTTTATCACAAAGCTTGCCTACTCGTCTGCTACACACTCATAAAAAATAAGTTCACACTTTTAGGGCGTAGTGTCAGCAATAGTGATAACAGTAGCACTTTTGCTCCTCATGTCACATCCTTCTTTAATAAGTTCATAAAATGTTCCTACTGTACAAAGCCTCAAACTCACAGTGTGCTCAACTCAGATCCTTACCCCAAATCTGAGCTGTAATGGAGAAATAACTCTCTCAAAATGCTCTGTGAAATGCAGATAGAAGCCAGAATCCCAGTGAAACTAGTGAAGTTTGCTCGTGTGCTGGAGAGAGAGGAGGCCGAAGATCAGGTGGAGTCTAAGTTCACCGTCACACAAACACCTTCATTTCTGCTGAAGAGTGGCCAGGCGCTCATCACCTTTGAGGAGGAGAAGGGTATGGACCACAGGGATCGTTATGTTTCTCGGTTTGGGAAGATGTGTATGTTTGTCTGGTTTTAATCACATTGATCTGCTGTTTGTTTCTCATAATGTGGACTGTTTCAGTGGCGGAGCAGATCCTCCGATTGGCCAAGTGTTCGGTGGCCTGTGACAAAGCCAAGATAGAGGTGAAGCCGTACACTTTAACTCTGGATCCCTCCGTGAAGTTTGAGGTAGAGAGATTTCAGAAGTTCTCCATCTTGCAGAACATTTTCTTCTTTACTGTGTCCAGAAAGACGTGTTGTCTGTTGACGTGAGCTGCTGTTAACAGAGGATTGTTACTTCTGTTCGTTCAGGTTCATATCCAGGTGTCAAAGAAGAGCGTCAGGTTCTGTAACGCCCCGCCCACTTTACCTGAGGAGCGAATGAGAGACCGGCTGGAGCTGTCGTTCTCCAGAGCGAGTCGCGGCGGAGGGGAAGTGGAGAAGCTGGAGTACCACAAGGATACGGGCTCGGGCCGCGTCACTTTCCTCAGCACCGGAGGTGTGTCTGCATCCCTTTTCATGCTCCGTGTTGTTAATGTGTGTTTGCTGAACGTTTCTGTTGATCATGGCTCTCCTGCTTCCACTTTCAGTTGCAGAGAATCTGGTTCACAGAGGAAAGTTTTGTGTCGACGCCGGCAGTGACGTGGTGCTCGATGTTCTTCCTCTGTATGAGTATCAGCTCAGGAAGTTTCAGGTGCGTTTCTCTACCAGACATCTGTTTTGGGCGCAGAAGCACGTTTGTTTGATGGTGTTTGCTGTGATGTTGTAGACGTACTCGGGGGCTCCGAGTCGCACCGTGCTGCTGGGGGGAATCCAGGCACTGATGAATGAAGAAGATCTTCAGGACCATCTGGAGATCCACTTCCAGAAGCCCAGCAACTACGGAGGAGAGGTGGAGAACATCAAATACGTTCCTGATGGAGCTCAGCTGACGGCTTTCTTCAGCGAGGACGGCAAAGAAAAGGAAGACTGAGTTCAGAATGCAACAAAAGCCAGGGTTTACTTCAAATCAGTGATGCATTAGTCATATTTACATGCTGTTGTGTATGTGGGATTTTTCCGTTTTTCCTCTAGATTATAATAACCATATCTCCTCACTATCTTCTGTAACAATATGACAAAACTGAGCATCATAAAATAAAATTATAATTGAAACGGATAAAGTTGATTTGCTGCTCAGATCATCAGCCTGATGAAGATGTGTTGATGTACAAATGCTATACTAAAATAAAGTTTATTCTAATGTTATCTGCAATGTGTTGCATCTTTAACCGCTAGATGTAGGAATATTAATTTAACATCACTAAGGCTAAACGTAAAGTCAATCAGTGGTGAATTATGAGTGTAGTACATGAACTTAATGTCTACAGATAAAATACACATCAGATCTGAAGACGAGCAAAACAAAACAGCAGGGTTAGTTTCAGCATTTCATGTCATGTGGAGTTTATGTTGAGGATAAGAAATCAGCATGCAGAGGTGTATGCTGATCCCGTCGCTCTTCATCACAGATCCACGTCTGTGAAAAACACTGTTTTCCAGAGATATGTGCTCAAGATCAAATAATATATATTTTTAAAACATGCACATTTTATATCCATACTATTTTGCATTGTGTATCTTACTAATTTTTTTTCATCTTACTGTTGTTCTGTATAAATAAGAAATAACTTGCTGTAAAACAAATGTACTGGTCGTGCATCAACACTCAGGGAGCTAAAGCCTACACAGTGTTCTTATCCCAGTGATAAAGAGAAATACATCATACCTGAGTCTGTAAACGACTGTTAAGAGAGGCCAGAGACGCTGAAGAGGAGAAAATACTGTACAGGTAGAGCCGCTCACTCTGGACAGGTGTGTTTGTGTCTAACCTTCTCTAATTCTCTGTCAGAAGGTCAGTTTTCCTCCCTAACTAGTAAGCGTCTTCCACACTGCCACGCTGGCCTGCGTCAATAAGACACAAAGCAGTGGTTCGTGATAAATACAGATCACTGGGTGCGATATTTTCTGCAGTGATGACCTGCCTTCAGTGTAAAACACCTGTTTTGTTCTGCTCCTGTCTGTCTTGGTGTTGATGCTCAGATGTTTGTGACGTGTCTGTTGTGCAGTCTTCGTGTTTCTCTGACGAAGATAAGCTTCTGTTTCTACGTGTTTTTCTCATGTCTTGATCATGCTGTTTGTGGATGTTCTTGACCTTCCGTACGGTTCCTCAGGAGACTCTGATGTCTTGAGCTTCTCTTCACGATCCATCAGCGTTCACAGTCCCCTGCTTTCATAACTATGCAAAATACTGACTTGAACTCATCAGGAATTGGAAGATGGTCAAACAGATGTTGGAATATCTGGCTTTATGCTACTGATGTGAATCCTGCTGATTGGACACACCACACGGGTTTATTATAAACAAGCTAAATGTTAGTTGTAGATCATTTTTAAATTTTAGATTGCATTTGCGTTGGATCATTGTGTATGTATACAGTATTTATTGATTTCTTTTCCTTGAAATAAAAACGCTACATAGGATTGGTTTCTTGTAAACTGTTTTTCTGTCATACTGAATTATAATAAACACACACACAGAACTCAGTGTTAAATGAGCCACTAAGTTTCTTGCAAGTTCATGATGTAATTTTAAGACTCTTCATTGACAACTGTTTTTCAGATTTATTTCATTACTGTATGTGTCTGTAGAGTCAGCCAAAGCTTGTTCCTTCACAAAGGGTGGGTTTAGGTATATGTAAGGTGAGAGGAGTTGGATCTGGATCTTGTGTTCTGCAGTGAGGACCATATCCATTTATACAGCGCTTTATACAATACAGACTGTCAGAGCAGCTTTACAGTGTCAAACAGGAAAAACGTGTGCTGATAATGCAAGAGGACAATAGAAAGCAGTAAGTTTCTCAGTTAAAGTCAGTTGATTGATGATTCAGTGATGTCTTCATCCAGTTCAGCTCTCTTCAATAGTGTCTGTGCAGTCAGTCAAGCGTCCCCAACTAAACAAGCCAAAGAAACCCTAACCCCATCAACAGCGTTCGTTCATGTCTGAACACAGTGATATTAGCAGAAGTCCTGACTGTTGGTCAAACGTCTCGTCTCATGCTGGAGAAATGTCCCTTGCAGTGATCAGTGAATTTACTGCATTATTCATCATGTTAGGTAGGTTTTTCAGATCAAGGCTGATCAATCTCAGTTCACTTTTAAGGGCTGATCCCCTCTGGTTCTCATAAAGAGGACGAGGCTCTCGTGATGCGGGACAGTACTGTTATAAACGTCTTCATGAGAACAACTCTCTGTGTGTTTAATAACCCTTACGAAAAATAAGTTTATTCAAGTGTGCTATTAGTATACTTCTTTTAAACTAAAAATAGGAAAGTATACTTTTAGTCTACTTTTTATGTACTTCTCAGAAATGGGCTTTATGTACTTCTCAGAAATATACTTAAAATGACATTTAAGTATACTTGACTTATACTTAGAAAAAGTCTAAATATATTTGAGCTATACTTGTGCTCCTAGAATCCGTGTTTTCATGGTTATACTGTAGGGGGCGCTAGTACACATTTTCTGTACAGAATTTCCAAAAATTTTATATACTAGAAAGTGGGCCAATTTAGTCCCAATGAGTATTGGAATAGTACACTTACAAGTATACTACTAGTACACTGATATTTGTATACTTACTACATAAAGTATACTTAAAAATATACTCGAACTTTACTTAAGTATACTTACTAAAATAAACTTGAAGTATACTACTTTTTGGTAAGGGAAGCAATCACAGAACCACAGCAAGGCATCATCTGATGACTTAAATGTTCCGCGTTAACTCTGCAACTGTAATATCATGTGAGTGTAGCTGTAATTCATTTCATTCATGGAAAAAACATCAATAAATTGATTGACAGTGGCTTCATTTAGAGGTGTAGAAACACAGTAAAGTCTCCATATAATGAATGTTCCACCATAATAATGTGCTAAAATACCATTACAGATGCCTGGATGACAGCTGTCTATTTAGATATAAGTCATGGTTTGGGGATCCTAAACTCGTCCAGATAGGATGAAGTAAATAGGATGAATCTCATCGTATTATTGCTCTGTTGTTCAGGGGCTTCGAGCTTCTTATTACAGGCCATGAATCTCTGTAGACAGAGCTCAGGACAGCAGCTTTCATGATTAAACATCACAGCGAAGGAGATCAGATTAACTTCTTATGGCATGTGGTGTCCAGCTGAGATAGTTCCTGCTGTATTTCAGGTTACAGTAGCTCATATAAGACTCTTCAGTTCATCAGCAGAGGGCGTCCTCACCTCACTTACCGGGTTAGCTGGTTAACATGGGTCAGTTAGGCTCTGACAGTCAAGTAGCTGTATATTCTGACCAAAAACATTGACATCACTAATATTTTAGTGTGTTTTTTGACGTCAGTCACAGCTCAGGATAGTCACTAGTGAAGGTTATAGATGATGGGAATAAAACATCTAGTCTGAGCACAAAACTGGTTTTATGTGGCCTCTATTGTAATTCTGAGCTTGTTCTGGTTTCATTAGGGTTACAGTTTCTTGTCCCTCGCTCTTATTTCAGACCTTCACAAGCTTCATGTCCTGCATTGTGATTAGAGTTTGCAAACTCATTCTGGCTCTGAATGTGATTCTCCTTTATGAATATGTTGTCATATTTTGATTTATGTTTTGCTCAGTTTTTTTTCTTCACAGGGTTTCTGTAAATAGTGCTTTATTAAAATACAGTGAATGTCAGACGGTCATCAGTGATGTTGACACAAACAGATTTAGCACAGATTCCCTGCTGCACAACCCTCGAGTTAATATGTAGTGTTAATATGTGTTCTGCTGTGGTCTACAGTGTTCTGCTGTGGTCTACGGTGTTCTGCTGTGGTCTACAGTGTTCTGCTGTGGTCTACTGTGTTCTGCTGTGGTCTGCTGTGGTCTACGGTGTTCTGCTGTGGTCTACGGTGGTCTATAGTCTTCTCCAGCTGGTTTGTTCATTAGTTAGTGTTAGGTAGTGCGGTAGGTTGGTTTATCTCGTCCTCCTGTGGTTCAGAGGTCAGTGGTCTGTCGGTGGGGTTCGGAGGGTTTTGTCTCTCTGCTGACGATGGAGGCGTTGATCTGTCACCGGTTACCATCCGTATGTGGTCCAGAGATCGCCGCAGCAGGGGCCGAAAGGTGTTTCTGGAGCTCTTGGTGGCCTGACTGCTCTCCAGCGTTCTTCTGTTGACGTGCTGCAGCGACAGACGGCACAGGAGCGTCTGCAGGAACGCCGAGCGGAACTGGCGCGAGGACAGGTTATACAGCAGCGGGTTCAGCACCGAGCTCAGGTAGAAGAAGCTGTCGGCCACCGGATGAAGCTTCACATAGCTGCGCAGGTAACTCACGGTCCACGCCGACTTGGGCACCGCCGCCGTCATCAGCCTGCGGATCTGATTGGGCATCCAGCACACGAGCAGAGCGCAGACGATCAGCACTAATGAGAACACAAGCACACACACACACACACTCACACTCACACACACACACACACACACACTCACACGCACACACTCACTCACACGCACACACTCACACTCACACACACATACACTCACTCACACGCACACACACCACACACACACACACTCTCTCTCTCTCTCACACACACACACACACACACAGGAGCTTAATAAGAATCTGTCATCAGGATCCACTAGGACAGGTACAGTATCTGAGCCTGTAGAAGTAAAGTGTTTGCATTTTATACAAGGTTTCTTCTTTACCCCAAAAAAGTATTTTATGAAACTCTCGAATAGAGACTAACCAGTTTGATATTTCACCCGTATTCACACTTTTCAGCTGACTTGCTTAATTGGTTAGTGGATCACTGACCCGCATCCTCGTGAGCTTTGGGAAGTGATTGTTTTATTCTGAATTATATAACACAAAATCACTTAATACATTATTGTTATATTTGATCTTATAATTCACACCATACTGAAAATAATGAGGCTTTATGATGTGCTTCTGTCTTTTTTTCAGTGTGGTTCTGTTTCTACACCAGCGTTTCTCATGTGCTGACAGACGTGGGTGTTCATCGGCTATGAATCATGTAAGTAATGCATATTGTGACGTGGTTGTTATTTTTTTCATGCAAGTCTCTATAGAAAATAGAAATCACATAAACGTTTTGCCTCAAATCCTTGGTACTTAGTGAGAACCCAGAAGACATTTGGCACAAAATTTGTGTTTCTTTAAATGTATATATGTTTAGCCTTTTTATATGTGCACTTACTGTTTGTGTGCAACTACTCTTATCCGTTAGTTAGACTGCACAAGCAAATCGGTAGCTTTTCTTTCAGAGCCTAATTTAACAATGAGCTGGTGGAGGCTGCAGATGAGGCTGTGATCTCTGGGTTTGAAATGTTTGTCAGACTTTAGTGTTAATGTTTGAGTGTTATTGCGTGAGCTCAGTGGACTTTATAGAGGCTGATAGAGAGAACATGCTTCAGTGGATATTTGTGTAAGGTTGGGTCAGGGTAAAGGTGAACAGGACTCGTATCATGTCTGTGAAGAGACACACATGAGATAATGAATGATGTCCTACCGAGGAAGAGGATGGTCTGTTTGCGGGACGCTTTCAGCCGTGCGCTCTCGTGTTTGGCTCCAGCTCCGTTTGTACCAGATTCGTTGGGTCCCATCGGGGCCCGCAGAACAGCGATCATGGCTCTGCACATGAAGGCCACGCCGCCCAGAACGAGCAGATAGAGCGTGAACGCGGTGAAGATGCTGGTGCGGTACATGACCCAGTGCTGGCTCAGGTTAGTGCAGAAGGTCAGGTTCTGCACCGGAGTCCGGCGGCCCTCAGGGATAACTCCTTCGGTTCCTGTGGCCACGAGCAGCGGCAGAGCCACGAGAGCCGAGGAGATCCAGGCGGACAGCAGCAGCTTCGTCGTGCGGCTGCCGGACACGGCTTTATAGCGGAACGGGTGGCAGATGGCCAGGTAGCGCTCGAAGCTCAGCGAGGCGATGTTGAGGACTGTGGCGTAGCTGCAGGCCTCGAACAGAAAGCTGTAGATCCTGCAGGCGGCGTCGCCGGACGAGGACGAGAAGGGGAACCAGATGGCGCTGTAGAGCTCCACGGGCATCCCGATCAACAGCACCAGCAGGTCAGAGCAGGCCAGACTCAGCATGTGATCCGTCACGGTCTTCTGCAGGTATCCGCTGCGCTGCAGCCGCTGAGACACGTGGATGGTGACGCTGTTTCCCAGGATCCCGAGGACGAGGATGAGGCTGTACAGCACCGTGAGGAAGATCTTCACCTCGTGACTCGGCTCCAGTTCTTTCCAGTCTCTCTGCACTTCCTCGTTCTGCTCCATGATGTCAGTCGCTCTGTGTGGACTTGTTGACTTTAGTCCTGCTTATCTGCTCCGTTATCACAACCGTTAATCATCAAACCCACAAAGCTCGAAATCACAGCGTATGACTTGAAACAGAAAGTCTATGAATCCTTCATGATGAAGATCGGAGCGTCTCAGATCGGCTCGGTCGTGTTAGTCTCCGCTTTACTCGACTCTTCCTCTGCTCGAGTTGGAAAGCTCTGCTGTGAGTTAATGATTAGAGTTTGACAAATGAACGCGGAGGCGGCGCGAGTTACTGCCGAGATCTGAGCCGAGCGTCGCTATTTGAGCGGGAACTATTAGTCACGTGATGCTTTATAGTACGAGGGTGTGTCCTGGTCCTCAGGCGCTGTGTGTGTGTTTACACAAGTACAGCCACAGTACATACTTTAGAGTGTTTCAGAGTGAAGATTCACCTACAAATGATCATTCTGTCATCATTTACTCTTCCTCATGTTGCTGTATGAGTTTCTGTCTTCTCTTGAACACAAAAGAAGATCTTTTGAAGAATGTTGATATTGTGAACATTTTTTTTTAAATCTTGTGAAAGATTAGGAAAAGGTTGTTCCATCCAAACAATAATTGTGGGTATTAATGGCACTGTTAATGGTTGTGATGAGGATTTGCACAGCGTTTGTCCTTCATCTGTCCAATCACAGGCTCAGATCATGGGCTGCTGGATTTTGGGTGTAAAACTTCAACATGATCTACACATCTAGATTTTGTTAAAACTATATTCATCAAATTGCTCATCGATGCAAACAGCAGTTAAAGTGCGTTAACAGCTGCGTAATTGCTTTATGGCTGTTATTGTTGCACAAACGCAGATAAACACAAGCGCTGTAAAGCACAGATAACTGGTCACGTGTGAGCACTAACCGGCTGGTTAAACAGCTATGATCCGTAGCTTTTATTTCAGGCATATATTCCCAGTGTTTCTGGACCTGCTCGGTTCTGTTGACGCAGAGCTGCTGAAATGGGTTCTGGACCGAAGAACATACAGATTAAAATGAACATATATTAAAATGTAATTGTAAACTGTATGCTTTATTTGTTCTTGTTGTTGTTGAAAGGAATCTTTAATGTCAGCTTTGGTTTCAAAAAAGAATGTAGACCCGTGACCCGTCCTGATTAAACTAGGACATGTAAAGCTAGTTAATTGAGAAACTGGGTCATCGTGAGTCTCTGAATCAGATCGCAGATGTTTGACAAGCTCTGATGAACGTCTAACCTGCCCAGAACATGTAAGTTAATTTACCCCACAACAAAAATATCAGAAAGAAATATTTAGTTTAATGAAATAAAGCCTAGTTTGCAGATGTTCTTGCTGCTCTAAGCTGTAATGCTGAATAATGTTTGACTGATTCTCTGCACACAGTGTTTGGGTTAGAAAGGTCACCTAGAGAAAACCACATGATCTATTAGCAACAACTGCCAAAACAGGACTGTCCACTTAAAACCCTTCGGTCAGGGTGGACGCAGGCCTAATAAAGAGTTGAGCTTGTGTAAACAGAGGATCTCTGCTCTGGAGGCACACTGCATTCTTCTGATAAAGAGACATTCAGTGTTGCATTCAGTTATTGAATGTGACGTTGGTTTTTACTTCCTGCTAGAAACGGTGTGTGTGGCGACCAAAAGGGGCTTCAGAAGACACCGGGGCCCCGGGGCCTCATAGGACTGTAATCCGTCCTTGGGTTGTTCTGCTGTGTGTGTTGGAGGATTAAAAATGAATGGCAGGGCCGGTGAAGCGCCCCAGAATGCTGTGGACTGTAGAAATCAAAGTGACTTGATTAACTGCACAAGACAGACTTGTGTGTTGAGAATTTTGTGATCTGGCACATATAACCTAACATGAATAAACACGAAATCGCACACAGCACAAGTGTTTCACATAAACTAAGCCTAATGTTGCACGAGCTCCATCTGCTGTGAGATATTCATGTTATTACAGAACAAACTAAACAAGATCTTTCTATAAAGGTGTTCGCCTAAACAACATTCGACATGTCTCGTTGAACATTTTAAACCTACTTCTTCAATGTTTTATCGAATAAGCGTTTAAAAAACGTTCAGGTATGATTGACACCTGAGCGCGCTCTCGCGGCGGATCACAGTGACGTCAGCCACCTTTGCATTTCCTTCGCAACCAAAATTCAGTTTGACACACTTTACATACAGATGTATACAGAGTGAGTGTGTGTGTGTGTGTGTGTGTGTGTGTGTGACTGTGTGGGTGTGTGTGTGTGTGAGTGCGAGTGTGTGTGTGTGTGAGAGAATGAGTGTGAGTGTGTGTGTGAGAGAGCGTGTGTGAGAGTGAGTGTGAGAGAGAGTGTGAGCGAGAGAGAGAGAGAGTGTGTGTGTGTGTGAGAGAATGAGTGTGAGTGTGTGTGTGAGAGAGCGTGTGTGAGAGTGAGTGTGAGAGAGAGTGTGAGCGAGAGAGAGAGAGAGTGTGTGTGTGTGTGAGAGAATGAGTGTGAGTGTGTGTGTGAGAGAGCGTGTGTGAGAGTGAGTGTGAGAGAGAGTGTGAGCGAGAGAGAGAGAGAGTGTGTGTGTGTGTGAGAGAATGAGTGTGAGTGTGTGTGTGAGAGAGCGTGTGTGAGAGTGAGTGTGAGAGAGAGTGTGAGCGAGAGAGAGAGAGAGTGTGTGTGTGTGTGAGAGAATGAGTGTGAGTGTGTGTGTGAGAGAGCGTGTGTGAGAGTGAGTGTGAGAGAGAGTGTGAGCGAGAGAGAGAGAGAGTGTGTGTGTGTGTGAGAGAATGAGTGTGAGTGTGTGTGTGAGAGAGCGTGTGTGAGAGTGAGTGTGAGAGAGAGTGTGAGCGAGAGAGAGAGAGAGTGTGTGTGTGTGTGAGAGAATGAGTGTGAGTGTGTGTGTGAGAGAGCGTGTGTGAGAGTGAGTGTGAGAGAGAGTGTGAGCGAGAGAGAGAGAGAGTGTGTGTGTGTGTGAGAGAATGAGTGTGAGTGTGTGTGTGAGAGAGCGTGTGTGAGAGTGAGTGTGAGAGAGAGTGTGAGCGAGAGAGAGAGAGAGTGTGTGTGTGTGTGAGAGAATGAGTGTGAGTGTGTGTGTGAGAGAGCGTGTGTGAGAGTGAGTGTGAGAGAGAGTGTGAGCGAGAGAGAGAGAGAGTGTGTGTGTGTGTGAGAGAATGAGTGTGAGTGTGTGTGTGAGAGAGCGTGTGTGAGAGTGAGTGTGAGAGAGAGTGTGAGCGAGAGAGAGAGAGAGTGTGTGTGTGTGTGAGAGAATGAGTGTGAGTGTGTGTGTGAGAGAGCGTGTGTGAGAGTGAGTGTGAGAGAGAGTGTGAGCGAGAGAGAGAGAGAGTGTGTGTGTGTGTGAGAGAATGAGTGTGAGTGTGTGTGTGAGAGAGCGTGTGTGAGAGTGAGTGTGAGAGAGAGTGTGAGCGAGAGAGAGAGAGAGTGTGTGTGTGTGTGAGAGAATGAGTGTGAGTGTGTGTGTGAGAGAGCGTGTGTGAGAGTGAGTGTGAGAGAGAGTGTGAGCGAGAGAGAGAGAGAGTGTGTGTGTGTGTGAGAGAATGAGTGTGAGTGTGTGTGTGAGAGAGCGTGTGTGAGAGTGAGTGTGAGAGAGAGTGTGAGCGAGAGAGAGAGAGAGTGTGTGTGTGTGTGAGAGAATGAGTGTGAGTGTGTGTGTGAGAGAGCGTGTGTGAGAGTGAGTGTGAGAGAGAGTGTGAGCGAGAGAGAGAGAGAGTGTGTGTGTGTGTGAGAGAATGAGTGTGAGTGTGTGTGTGAGAGAGCGTGTGTGAGAGTGAGTGTGAGAGAGAGTGTGAGCGAGAGAGAGAGAGAGTGTGTGTGTGTGTGAGAGAATGAGTGTGAGTGTGTGTGTGAGAGAGCGTGTGTGAGAGTGAGTGTGAGAGAGAGTGTGAGCGAGAGAGAGAGAGAGTGTGTGTGTGTGTGAGAGAATGAGTGTGAGTGTGTGTGTGAGAGAGCGTGTGTGAGAGTGAGTGTGAGAGAGAGTGTGAGCGAGAGAGAGAGAGAGTGTGTGTGTGTGTGAGAGAATGAGTGTGAGTGTGTGTGTGAGAGAGCGTGTGTGAGAGTGAGTGTGAGAGAGAGTGTGAGCGAGAGAGAGAGAGAGTGTGTGTGTGTGTGAGAGAATGAGTGTGAGTGTGTGTGTGAGAGAGC